TGCCAACATAGCGACCGCCGAGGCCATGAACCTCGGGATCCGATGGGGCCTCCAGCCCGCTGTTCTCGGCCAGATGATTAACTCGTCCACTGGCAGGTGCTGGTCCAGCGAGGTTAATAACCCGGCTCCTGGTGTCATTGAGGGTTCTCCCGCATCCAGGGGTTACACCGGAGGCTTCGGTGTCAGTCTCATGAAGAAGGATCTCCGTCTCGCTGTCGAGGCCGCAAGGGAGTCTGGCACTGCCCTTGAACTCGCTGACATTGTCCAGCAGGTCTATGAGGCTACCGAGAAGGAACACCGTGGAAAGGACTTTTCCGTAGTTTACCAGTACCTCACTAGCAAATCTAAGTAGTTTCGTTAGCTCCGTGTCTGATCGCGTAGACGGTATATTTGAGACTCCATATAGGATATAGGCGTGAATGCAGATGTCGCTGGATGTTGAAGTAGAGTGTTGGTAGGTGCGTCATAACTAGTTAGCTAGGTTCGGCCACGCCTAGTTATGTAAGTGAATTAGTTAACTCACCAAACATCAGCTTCAACTATCAACTCCACAAAGTGACATACAGTAACATCAACGTCAACTGTGCAAGATGTAAAATGGCCTACGTCGTTCCTATCCACGGCGCCAGCAGCATCCGACACGCCCTTAGAGCCAAGTTCATCAGCCCAGACGAAGACTGTCTTGTCGTCGCGTCAGTCCACTCCTTCATCTACACCAGAATGCATTCAGCTAACAGCTCCCCAGGAAAGCGAACCGCCTTGAGCTCTACACTCAATCCGCAGATGGCCTCGTTCTACAACATTCCAAAGCAATCTATGGCCGCATCACTCTCCTTAAAAAGCTTCCTCGATCCACTGCTGGTGGCCTGGCGCTGACGGACGCTCTCTTCGTTGGCACAGACCAATACGCATACTTCTCGATCACCTGGGATTCGGTCCACGAGCAGCTGCGAACCGAGCGGAAGTACATCGATCTTGCAGATGGGTCACTGCGAGAAGCTCACAGTGATGATAGATGTCAGATTGACCCGTCCGGCAGCTTCCTCACCCTGGAAGTGTATGAGGGCGTTGTCTCTATCTTCCCACTTGTCACCGCAGATTCGCACAAACGGGCTAAGTCAGCAGTTTCGGCTTCGGCTTCTTCGGCTTCTACACCAGTAGAACAGCTAGGAGAGCCACTACAGGTCCGGATTGAGGAGCTGATGGTTAGGTCCTCTGCATTTCTGGATCAGGAGGCTTCGAACACCCCTCGTTTTGCGCTTCTGTATGAAGACACACAGGGCAAGGTCAAGCTCAAACTCCGAGATCTCAAGTATACCCATGCAATAATCACCAGTGATCCTGGCAGCGCCGCTGAACTAAAAGATGTGACTACTCTTTCGGACGAGGTAGATCTCGGTGCTAGTATCCTCATTCCCGTTCCCCGTCCATTAGGTAGGTTACGTTAATCCTTATGATAAATAGCACTCTTAAAAGACACAACCGCTAACGGTCGCAGGTGGTCTCCTGATTATCGGAGAATCATCTATCAAATATGTTGATGTCTCCAGGAACGAAACTATTTCAAGGCCACTGGCTGAGTCCACTGTATTTGTAGCCTGGGAGCAGGTAGACGGCCAACGGTGGCTGTTAGCGGATGACTATGGCCGCCTCTTCTTCCTCATGCTTGTTCTTGACGCTGACAATGCTGTTGATACATGGAAGGTTGACTTCCTCGGTGTCACCTCTCGCGCTTCGGTGCTTGTCTATCTTGACGGTGGCATTGTTTTCGTCGGCTCCCACCAGGGCGACTCACAGGTCATCCAGATTAAAGAGGGCGGCTTCGACCTTGTCCAGACTATATCTAACATCGCTCCCATCCTCGACTTCACCGTCATGGACATGGGTGACCGTTCGGGTGCCACTCGCGAGTTTTCATCAGGCCAAACACGCATCGTCACCGGATCTGGAGCGTTTGGCGATGGTAGCCTGCGCAGTGTTCGTAGTGGTGTTGGGATCGAAGAGCTCGGCGTGCTTGCCAGCATGGAACATATTACTGACCTCTGGACATTGCGTTCTGCCTGTCCAGAACCATTTTTTGATACTCTCCTTGTCTCCTTCGTCAATGAAACTCGAGTATTCCATTTCTCTGCTGATGGTGATGTAGAGGAGAAGGAGGACGGCTTTCTTGGCCTTGTATTCTCTCAAAGCACCTTACTTGCCACCAATATACCCGGAAATCGTATTCTCCAGGTGACCGAGAGTACATCTAGAGCGATAGATGTCGACAGTGGCATGATAATATGGCGGTCTTCCTATGAAGAGTTCACCATCACCTCCGCCTCTGCAAATGATGACTATCTCGTTCTCGTACTCGGCGGCGTCCGGCTTGTTTGCATATCACTTTCGACCTTCGAACTGGTCGGAAGCAGAGACTTTGAGGCAGATAACCAGGTCTCTGGCATGACTATACCGGCCTCCCCAACCCAAGCGTGCATCGTATGTCTCCCACAGTCCGCCGAGATTATCATTCTCAACCTTCCTGAGCTCGAAGTAAAGAATAAGCAGGCCCTAGGCGAGCCTGGGGAAGCAATCCCACGATCAGTCATTGTGGCTGAGATACTCCCTAACAAACCTCCTACCTTGTTCGTTTCCATGGCCGATGGAACCGTCTTCTCCTTCTCTTTCGACGTCCATGCCTTTGCCATCTTCAACTCTAGCAAGATTACACTGGGATCTGAGCAGCCATCATTCAAGAAGCTTCCGCGTGGTAATGGGCAGTACAATGTTTTTGCAACGTGCGATCACCCAAGCTTGATACATGCATCCGAGGGGAGAATTGTATATTCTGCAGTTGATTCGGCAAGCGCTAGCCGTATCTGTAGTCTCAATACCCAAGCTTATCCAGGCTCAATCGCGTTGTCAAGCCAGAACGAGCTGAAGATAGCAATCGTGGACGAAGAGCGCACCACACAAATTCATACCTTGCCCATGCACGCCAGCGTCAGACGCCTGGCTTACTCCCCCATGGAAAAGGCCTTTGGACTAGGGACAGTGAAACGGAAAATTTCCAACGGAGTCGAAGAAGTAAGCAGTTCGTTTGTCCTGGCAGACGAGATACTCTTTCGGCCCCTGAGCACGTACGATCTTCGCCCCGACGAATTGGTTGAGTGTGTCATCAGATCCCAGTTAAATTATGGTAAAGACGAGGTAGGTAATTCGATATCTAAGGACTTGTTCTTCGTTGGAACCGCCTTCCTAGACGATGTAGGGGACGACCATATCCGTGGCCGTATCCTTATATTCGAAGTGAACAGGTCCCGAGAGCTCTCTTTAATCGTAGAGAAGTCTCTCATGGGAGCATGTCGCACCCTCGCTGTTATGGATCATACATTACTAGTAGCTGGTCTAGTCAAGTCGGTCAGTATTGGGGATTTGCCTTGTTCAGTAGACTATATATTCTAACATATTCATAGGTCTCGGTGTTCAAGCTGGCACGCGACAGATTTGGGAACATCCTCCTGGAAAAGCATACTGCATATCGAACATCTACCGCACCAATTGATATATCCGTAGTGGGTGACACGGTTGCCGTAGCAGATGTGATGAAAAGCATGTCACTGGTACAATACACACAGGCAGAAGAGGGTGAACAAGAACCCAAGTTCGAAGAGGTAGCGCGCCACTATCAGACACTCTGGAGTACAGCTGTGGCGCCCATTGAAGAGAATGTCTATCTACTTGCCGACGCGGAAGGAAATCTGGTTGTTCTACAGCAAAACATTACTGGCGTAACGGAGTCGGATAGGAAACGTCTACAACCTACGAGTGAAATCCGACTTGGCGAGATGGTCAATCGAATCCATCCGATAGTTGTCCAAACACATACGGAAACAGCTGTTTCTGCACGAGCATTACTAGCAACTGTACGTCTTCCTGCGTTTTCTTTGACAATTATCTATAAAATCTAACAGTATAGCAGGTCGATGGGTCCATCTATCTCTTCGGCCTAATCAACCCAGCCTATATAGACCTCCTACTCAGACTTCAGACCGCCATGGGCAGTATAACGATAAGTCCAGGAGAGATACCATTCCCTAAATACCGTGCGTTCAGAACTACGGTGCGCCAATCCGATGAGCCTTTCAGGTTCGTGGACGGAGAGCTCATTGAGCGTTTCCTTTCATGCACCCCAGCCATGCAGGAGGAGATAGTCGGTAGACTTGACGATAGTACTGTCACCGTGTCTTCATTGAAGGAAATGATCGAAGAACTGAGAAGGATGCATTAAAATTAGTTACTTATTGGTACGATCATTCAAAGTTAGATGTTAGAGGTAGACAGGCTTGTTAGCGAGACACAGTATGAAAAGTGACGATATTATGCAGGCAACGCACAATGTACCTCGTTCGCTTCCATTCTTCGATGGTCTGTCTACCAATCATCATGTAATCTCAGGCCAAGCTCTTCACACTGTGTACCCCCAATAATCTAAAAGCAACATGATAGTCTGGCTTTACTATTATCAGGGACGGAGGCTTGTTTACCCGTAGGTTATTCCCCTTCACATCATGCTTCCGTGTATCGTGCCGACTATGCCACACTCAGAAAAACCTCCACCATAGCTTGGCTAGATGGTCATTCATCTTTTTGGCAGACATGTTGTTCTGGTTGATATCAATTCTACCAGCAGAGATTGATAATTCTTCCTGCAAGCGAGTTCTTCGTGGCTCCGATATCAAAGATCCCAAGCGTACTATAAAAATTACCCGTCCTTAGATGTTCGCTTCTCTCGTTCAGCTTCTAAATGGTCATTGTATTCGCGCAAGATCGACTCGAGGCCTTCGTTACGTCGCGCCAGCAACAAGACATCGGACGCGTTAATCGTCGAACGACCAGCATGGCTGATAAATCAATAGTATCAGCATTACAGCCCGCATGATATCCAAGTCACAATCTGGCATGCATACGTACTTTGCAAACATTTCTAAATCCTGGCCAACCGTTTCTAAATACGGTCATTAGCCAATACACTGGACTATCAGCCAAACATTCAGCGCACCTAGCTGCGCCCAGGTAATCTCTACTAGCCCCGCAATGAACTGAGGAGTTACCTCTGTATCGAAGAGGTCTGCATGTTCGCGAGTGAGGTTGCCCAGGGTATACCAGAGCATTGCCTTCAGCTGCTAGATGGGAATAAATCAGCACCTGCTACAGGGGCACAGGAGTAATAGCTTACCTTTTTCGTCTCCTGTCCATCATCGTTGGTAGGAGCCATCGTTGTCTATCCTCCACTTCATCTCGCTGCCTGCGTGGTCTCAGTCTCTGTCTTGCCTTCGAGTCCATCCATCGTAAATATTCCAGGAAGTGCCCCTGGCCCAATGATTGGCTGGAACCTTAATACGTGAAAACGCGATGTCACGGGATCGGAGCTTCTTTTTTTCTCTAGATGGGCCTCAGTTAATTTATGCGAGCTTCTGCCTTGAAGAAGAAAAGAAGAAAGCCCTCTATAAAAAAGAAACAACAGCCTGTTGGGGGGGATATTTATTTAAAGTGCTCACGCCGCCGCTTCAATTGAGAGATTTCTTTTCCCTTAGAGAGGACCGTAACGTTTGGCGCATTTGTCTGACCCGAAAACCAGAGAACGAACAGCATTATCCAGCGCCTACGCCCTAGCTACCGCAACAACTACATAGCCCATCCCTAGGTGGAACTCCCTCATATACAGCAGCCGCTTACCATGGCAGACTTCCAATTTACGAGTGTGACAGATACGCTGTATACCTTGTATTCCAACTTCACCAACAACATATCCACGTCTGTCTCCAACCTCACCATTCAAGACTACATCCGGCTTGTCTGGATCATAGGTGGCTATTATTTTCTCCGACCATACCTCGACAAGGGCTTCAGAAAGCTCTTCGACTCTGGCAACGCAAAGAGAGAAGCCGAAGAAGCCGCTGCTGCCGAAACTGCGGGCAAAACCAAGCTGTCGGCCAATACCTTGAGGCAAGGCGACGTCTCAGAGAGTGACGAGGAAGGTGAAGATGAAGGAGAGTCTACTGGGGTGTCGAACTGGGGCAGAAGTGCGAGACGAAAGCAGCGAAATTTCATGAAATACCTAGAGCAGGAAGCTGAAAGGAAGCGGGCGGAAGATGACGACAAGGATATCGCGGATCTGCTTGAGGATTAAACTTGCCCTGGGCTACCTGCCACGCAGTTATATACATCTTATCGATCAGCTCTTGTTCCCCTTCCCTGGGTAAGGGGACGTTTCTCTCCCTCTCTCTGAGTCGAAACCTGCACTTCAAGCTCCTCTATACCCACTAAATCCGCCCCGTCCCCCGGTCCATCTACCAACCAACACCCTGCCATATATTCCAGAGATACAATGCCCTTCCAACTGCTCAGCCTTTTATCCCCAGGATCTTCCACTCACTAAATGGATGCCATCAACCGTTGACTAGCATCCGCCCGCCTCCTGCATTCTGATATCAAGTCGGGTAAATCCTTGGCACGTGATATGACATCACCCTATTATTTTTCGGCCGCAGATTGCGCTTTCTTCGCTACTTTTGGGGAGCTTCGCTGGGAGGCGAATTCAACACAGAAAAACAGACAGACAGACAGACACACAAAATAGAGAATGGAAGCCAAATTGACCTCAATTGCCGTGCATTATACTCACTTTCCCCGCTACTCTTATCTGGTCTTGAGCTTGAAACTGACAAGCTCATGGGCTATTTCTGATCTATAAAACCCGCATTGCTACACAGCATAGACAGCTACTTGGCTGTAGCCAGAAGCCATGGCATCCGCCAATGCTATCCGCCTGGCAGGCTTCGGGCTAAGGATGCTTCAGCTCTTATCGTCACTGATTATCGTCGGGGTTTTTAGTTATTTCCTTGCAGTTCTTGCTGATCACAACGAGCATGCTCCAGAATGGCTGAAGGCTGTTGCCGGGATAGCCGGAGTGGCTGCGATCTACGCCATCCTCACGTCGTTTTTCATTCTTGCGTATGGAGGACTGTTAGTCTTCTCTCGTATATCCATGATGTTCGACGGAAGTTTCGCCGTCGCATTTCTAGCTATCTGTCTTATGACTCGCCACGGTGCCCTCCCTTGCACAGGACGCGTAACTACGCCCGTTGGAAGTGGTGATGCGGAAGACCCAGGTGCAGCATTTGGGGACGAGGATACGGGAACTGGCATGGGGGATAATCTCACTTCCATGCGATACCTAGCTACCGCGTGCAAACTAGAAAAGGGGACCTTTGCCGTCTCTATCATTGGAACGTTGGTCTTCCCTTATAAAACATGTGCGCCAAACCCATTCGCTAATTACATTTCTTGCCAGTGCTCTCTTTCTACTCTCGATTCTCGTACAGAGGGCCTTCGAAAATCGCCAACGGACTTCTAAAACCTCGCCAACGCCTCTTCCCCATGCTTCAACCAGGATTCGTCCACGCTTCTGGCCAAGACGGCAAACTCAGGGCTCTTCTACTGATCATACCGTTGAATACAGCCAGGCCCCTTTGACCCCTGGTGCCAACTCGCTGGAGGACAAGCCGAAGGTGGAAAAACCTCGCTTCACAAATTTTCTCCAGCGCTTCGGCGGGAATGATAGCAACAGAAATACTGATCCAGAAAACATCCAGTTGCGGCAGGGTATTCAAAGCAGCAATCTTCAATCCGAGCCTTCTAGCTATGGATATGGGAAAAATACATACACTGTTACAAGCCCAGACAGCCCCATATCGCCCACTTCTCAGGAGCCACCCAACCCGTGGGCGAGATCTGGAAATGCGGATTATACCTATGGAGAAAGCGGTATTGATGTGGGTGAATATTCCCATGGTTATGGGTACAACTCCCATAGATAGTGATTCGTAACGGAACTCTTCCCTCTTATTTCATTTTTATACTTTACGTTCCATTGTTGGCCAGGTTAGAGTGCCTGGCCGGCTTGGTAGCTCTAACATCCATGTTCCTCAGTTGGGCATGAGGCTACGGCTATCTACTATCCACGGGTTATTGATATTGTTCAATTACATAAATTCTTTCCCATCTCCCTTGAGACAGGCAGACCAAGCAGTCAAAATAAAGTTCCTTTTACCACAATGGGCAAATGGTTCCTGAGAAGTCTTCTCTATCTGTGCCTTCACTATCCTTTCACTCCTGAGATCTTTGTGAAGGGAATTCTGGGATATACCTAGCTTGCCTGGTAATTTCCACTATACCTCTATTATTAGTGTGGCTGTATTAACTTGGAAGATTCTATTCCATCAGTCCTGCAGCTGTCTCTAGATATATAAGTGCATCAGAACCAGGCTGTCTTTCTCAACAGCCAACTTAATCACATACTTTCCTCTCCCGCTGGCTATGCCAATACTGAATACGATTTGATATCCCAAGCTTGAAGTGATAACTAACAAGGATAACCATGAAGCTTTTCGTTGCTATACAACTTCTCCTTTTCAATACCTGCCATATTGCCTATGGCCATATGCAGCTGGCAAACCCATTTCCAGTCAGAAGCCCCCTAAACAAGGAAAATACGAATAAAGACTATTCGTACACGTCTCCCCTGCGCTCAGATGGCTCAGATTACCCTTGCAAGGGCTACCATAATGACCCCTTCAAACCAACAGCGCAATACAAGGCAGGACAGGAATACTCGATCGAGATAGCCGGAGGTGCAACCCACGGGGGTGGATCGTGCCAAATCTCACTCTCATACGACTCTGGCAAGACCTTCAAAGCTATCAAGTCGTTCATCGGGGGCTGTCCCTTGTCGAAGCAATACAAGTTTACTATCCCAAGCAACGCACCGAGTGGGAACGCTCTCCTCGCCTGGACCTGGTTCAACCGTCTGGGAAACCGAGAAATGTATATGAACTGCGCACATGTCACAATATCAGGATCGAATGATAATCCTGCTGGCAACAACAAAGCGGCTCTTTCAGGACAAGCAGCCCTTCATGGGCTCCCCAACATATTCCTGGCAAACATCAACCAAGCACCACAGTGCAAGACTGATCACAGCAAAGAAGTCATCTTTCCCTTTCCCGGGGAATTTGTCGAATACGGATCAGGGGCAAAAGGCGCTGCCGATAAAGGCTATGCATGCGCAAGCAAGTTTGAGGCGCCAGAGCCAGCACCACCTTCATTATTACCATCGCAGCCACCATCCTCTTCGTGCTCCAAGGCAGCGTCAAAAACACCAGCAGCACCTACAGCAACTTGTGTATGCCCTCCCATTACGGTCTGCAGCCCATCAACTGCACCAACGACCCTTTCTTCACCACAAACCACTACGAGAAGTAGTACAAGAGTTTGCCGTCGTCGCACCACGTCGAATTCCAGTCCCCCGTCCCTATTCCCAACTATGCTACCATTTCCAGCAGGCTCTAGTAATAGTACGTCATGTACTCCGGGGGATATCAAGTGCGACTCCGATAATTCATTTTTCCTTTGCTCCGGCCCGATTCTTGGGTACATTAAAATAGGGCCAATGCAAGGCAAGTTCCGATGCTTCAACAACTCAATCCAAGTCACGGAGTCAACAGCCAACAACTCTAGTACAACGTCGGCCTATGATTAGGTAGAGGGGTTTGGGGGAAACTGGAGCCTTTGGCATTAGAATATAGAAGAGTGGCAGATACAATTCACATAGTGTATCAATTTACCCCTATTCTAAGTTCCTCCAACCCTTGCAAAAACCAACTAATTAAAACTGATAACTAATAGCTGAATGCTTCATTATATACAGCATCACTAAGATATGAAAATAAAAGAATGGTATACAGATCCTTCCCTCCGGCATTATCATTTGTTAATGTCTGTGCCCTTTGTTTCCGTTACACTTATTTCCATTCCGTTCTGATCCATCCTTAGGAGCCTTCCGGCGAATATAGGTCTCCCTAATGGGGCATCCTTCGTTGCTATGGACGTCCCAATCGCCAATGTGATGGTCCTTGGGTAACCTCTTGACCCCGCGGCCGCCTCCACCCAAGATGAGATTTCCAGGCCTGTAGTCGTCTCGAGCTTTCAGCCTGCGTATGGCACTCACATGGATCTGGGCATCGTCAGGAATATCACGGACTTCACCCCGAGGTAATGGCCAACGGATAGGTTTCCACGATCCATCGGCTTGAAGATCCATTCGCCTGAATGGGAGGTATTCCATCATTGACCAAAGGGTTACTGAAAGCTTGGGGACTCCCATGTTGTATGACAAGCAGTCATGGATTTGACCCTGAGTGCTGGAGAGATGCAGAGCAGCCCGGAAGGATTCAGATGCGGTTACTTTTCGAGATGAATTTCTGACCGCCTCAGCATCTGACACCTCCTCAAGCAACCCTGCTTCGAGAACACATTTCTTTTGCAGCTCTTCATAGTCATCGAACTGGAAAGATGAGCGTTCCACGGGCGTGACTTCACCCGAGTACGATTCATCACATTCAAATTGCTTCAGCGCGCGAGGGCTGAATCGCAGCCCTGCTGCCTGTGCTTCATGGACCATCCAAACTAAAGGAGCATGGCTGAGCTGCCAGAGCTCCCCTTTAGCAAGCTCCCATCCTCCGCCGATATCTGCATGGCCGCCAGGGAACCAAACCTCTTGGATATCCTGCTCCTCATTCCCGTTCTCTAGACCTGGAACTGGCATCGATACCTTAGAATGACAGCTCTCTACTATTGAGATAGCGTCGTCCCCCTGCTGAGCCCCTGGCACAGAGAGATTGGGTACTGCGAGGCAAGTCTCAGGAGCTGGGGATGGTGGCCTGAATCTGGCACCACTGGGTACTTTGCGGGCTTTTTCGGCACTCAAGGTATTAGGCTTCCCATTCGTGACTCCGTTATCTCCAGTGCCGTTGGTACTCTTCTCGTTTGCCTCAGGACTGTTGATAACAACATTTGGGATATTATTCTTGTTTTTGCCCCTAATCAACTTGCGAAGATCCCACTTCCCGAAGACAGACTTGCGACCATGATGAGGGATATGAGGAATATGGTGATGGCCATGTTTCGAATGCATATCCCTCATTTGTGAAATCAGATCTTGTCGGAATTTTGCCCGTCTCTCGTCGATACCCACAGCATGCCGGATGACTCTGGCAGATGTCTTCGCAGTGTATGGGAACTTGCTTCTCTGCATCCAAGCTGATTCGAACCTGGGGACGCTGTTGACGGTGTCGAAGATACCAATGAATCGTACAGGGTTTACCGGTCGACTGAACGTTTCGCGAAACGCTTTCATATAGTTATACATTTTCAGCTTCTCGTCATGGTATTCATCTCCCTTTCCATCCCTTTGCTGCCATTTGGCATAATTTTTCCAGGCAAAGCGCACCAGCTCCTCGTTCCCGGCGGTTAGAAGGCCAACATAGTCAATCATCTCTGCAAGGAACCTGGCAATGTACGCGCCTCTACTAAATCCAAAGAAATACATGTTATCTCCTGGCGCGTAGTACCGCATAAGGAACCGGTAGCCAGCCATTACATGGTCGGCAAACGAGCTGCCAACGGCCGAATCTTTAGCCTTGAGTATGGCAGACTTCACTCTGGAGTAAAATCCGGTGTCCGAGAAGGTTGCAGAAGAGACATAGGTACCTATCCCCGGCTGATAATAGTGAAACTGGTCCCCTTGGCTACTATCCAGCATCTGGAGTGCCAGTTGTTAGTCAATTTGCTCGTCTCAATTTGCTCGTCTCACATGGTGTTTGTTGGTGCATCCGATGGTTTTGGGCATCTCACTGACTCGAAATATCTTGAGCACGTTCGAATCTGCCTCAGTTCCTGAAAACTTGTTCCCAGTGCCATCGAAACAGAGGACCAAGGTCTTTGGCCGTGAAGGGGGGTTGGCAGTCGCCATTGGGAACGAAGACAAAAGAAAGTCACAACCAAAATCAACTATTCAGGAGACATCCAGGGTTTGCCCGTTGACGACCGTCTACCACGGAGCCGTGACAGAGAATTATTTATATGTTATATGAACGCCGACGACAGAATCCAACCACTCACTTACTACCTCAGAGGCTGAACAGGCATGGCAGCGGATGGCGCAAACCATATAAAATTATCGACGGAGTCCTTGATCAGATATTCATGTCTTTTAAGCAGGGGAAAAAGAAAGCAACAACCTTCTCACACCGGCCGAATTATTATTATTATTATATTTTAGCTCGCAAAGAAGCTCTCGTTTCACGAGAAAATTGTGAACATGTTCCCCGTATGGAGGGGAGATCTCGGTCAATCTTTGACCCTGCAGACAGTCACATGGAAGAATGGAGGGTGCAGAGCTGGGTGCCTCAGGCTGACTCTCTCAGTCGCATGCCAATTGCCCGTATAGTATGTCAACAGGGAGGGTCGATCAGTTCAATCGGCGCAGCCCACGGCCCTCTCGTTATGTTAAAATCTTGCATGATCAACGCAAGACGGAGAAGGAAAACACCCCCCTTGGATGCATAAACTAGTCGGTGGAACCCCAGCCAGCCTCATGATGGAGGCCCCAGATAACTAATGGTGAGTTATATGGGAAACTCTGAGAGACTGGAGGACAGCAATTCGCTGGCTGATCGGAAACCCGGTCTGTTTTAAAATCGAGGCTTTTGGCATGTTGAAGCGAACAGCCCAGCTTCACAACCAGCTGCGGCCAGAACAATAATAGTTAAGAAGCACCACAGCAACACTGACCAACCCTCCATCATTGAAAGTACCGAGTCGAAAGATCCATACACAGACCACAAACTGAATCGAGGGAGAGTTCCACAGCAAAGTGACGACTTGATTCGAGATGTGCGTTCGATTAGCAAGGTTCGCATCCCGGACGTGGTGTTCCTATTCGCCAGGCTCTCGATAACTAATGGGTCTCCACTGCGAACCGAAGCCGTCCCAGAGAACAGACCTTGCTTGAGCTGACAATTCAGCCTTAACCGATGTCATGGACCAAGGGAAACGCCGTGATTTGGGGGGTCGGCTCAGGCTGCCCTGGCGTCCGTGAGGATCAAGCAAGCTCCTCACGGGGCCAACTCACTCTCAGCGTTCTGCTCTCTCGTCTTTGTCTCAGGGGATGTCTGTCTGTCTGAGGAATTACAGCAACTTCACACCTGCACCCGGTTGCTGCCACTTCAAACGACGGTAGACACTATCGGAACATGGCTCACGATCAGGTAATAGTATGGATACCTGTGTGTCTGATCTGTGTAGCACCCGTGCCCGCCCAATTTTTGAGCTGTCTGGGCAAGATACATAACAACAAATGAGCGGCTGGAGGCATCCATGGATCCTGCATAAACGAAAACTCAATGAAGCTTCCACTCCACTCAGCCGTCATGGCTCCCATCATTGGCTTGCTGGTTCGGGGCTGAAATCCAATTCGATGAGCCAGCAGGGGGCGGGGAGGCTTCTGAGCTGTGTTGTGCAAGACTCTGAGCTGGCTTTCTCTGAGTTATCCAGTCAGGTCTCAAGGATTACTGAGAAAACAGCCTAGATGGATACGAAGCATCTTCAGAGCTTCCCCCCAAGCACGCAGCCGTTGTGGGTCCGTCCCATTCTTGAGCATTATTAGGAGGGAGGAACATATCCTCATCTGTGGCCATTCATCAAGAGCATGTCAGCTCCCCAGCCTTGAATCTACTTCTCCTAGCTGACCTACCAAATACCCGATCATCCTGCACGGCGAAAGTCCGTGACGGCAAATAAAACGAGAATCGCCCACAATTAATCCCTTGGTCCCTTTTCGACTCTTTTTTTATTTTGTTAGTTTTCTTTGCTTGCCATTCTCTACACCTGAAGGAGACTGTCTTCTTGCTCCTGAGGTTGTGGCCATCTTCTAAATCATACTCTGTTTCTATTCTTGAATACTCTATAGCTGAGAAAGACCACTGTGTGAACGGCAAACATGGCCGGGGGTGCTACTAACGGTGTCAATGGAGTGACAAATGGCACCCATGCAACTACAAATGGAACAAATGGAACGAAGTCGAGCACCAGCTCACCCCCAAGCCAGAGCACAGCTCCTCGAGCTAAGAGAGGAGATGTTGAGGGCACTTTCGCAAAATACGCCCAACTGATTCATGCCTCTAGACGCCCTTTGCCTAACCAGTCAGGAGATGGCTCGTATCTCAGAGAAGAGACCAAATATACCAGCACTCTTTCCGACCTGCGGACTATGGGATGGAAGGGCATTTCCACTTTGCTGGCAGTCAGGAAACACAAGAAGAGTGGAAAGCTCGACAATGATCGAGAGTACATTATGGAGCGTGTTATCAACGTATGTACAGCTGAGATATCAATTGCCAACAGACAGAGCAAGAAAAGATACTTATACTCCATTTTAATAGCTCGTTGCAGGCCTTCCACCACAATCGAAGATGCGCAAGGACTTGACGAATACTTTTGTGAAGCAGCTTTGGGACTCTCTCCTCCACCCTCCACCAACGTATGCCACCTACCCCTGAGAGAAGTTGGAGTTACACGATACATGGGCTATAACTAACCCTAATATATAGCATGCTGGGCGATGATTACAAGTACAGGAGCGCAGACGGATCTTACAACAACCCAATGCTTCCAATGCTGGGAGCAGCAAACACTCCTTATGCTCGTTCCATAATTCCGGAGTCAATCCAACTAGGATCCCTTCCCGACCCAGGACTCATCTTTGATAGCATCTTTGCGCGTGAGAAATTCAAGCCTCACCCGAACGGAGTTTCTAGTGTCTTCTTCAACTGGGCGTCTCTGATCATCCATGATTTATTCCAAACTGACTATCGAAACCCTCACATTTCGGAAACTTCTTCGTACCTCGACCTCTCCATCTTATACGGAGACAACCAAGAAGACCAGAACAAGGTGCGAACTTTCAAGGATGGTAAACTAAAGCCCGATTGCTATTCTGAAGCACGTCTTCTTGCCTTCCCTCCGGCTTGCAGCGTTATCCTCATCATGTTGAACAGGTAAACATTTCTGTCTATCCCCCACCATAATAGAACGATATTTCTGACACTGAACCCTTAGATTCCACAACTATGCTGTCGAGCAGCTCGCCGCTATTAATGAAGGTGGCCGGTTTGCCAAACCAAGAAGTGGAATGAGCCCAGAAGCCACTGAGAAGGCTTGGGCTAAATATGACAATGACCTTTTCCAGACTGGACGATTGTAAGCTCTATTTCAACCATGTCGTTGCTTCAGATCCAGCTAACAGTGAGTTTAGGATTACTTGTGGACTATACATTAACATCACACTTTACGACTACGTCCGTACCATTATCAACCTGACCCGCAGCAACACTACTTGGAGTTTGGTTAGTATCTTTTCTTAAATCTTAAGCACTGTGAGACTGATGGGCTTATACTATTGATAGGACCCACGAGTTGGCATGCGTGAGGGTGCAGTTCCTGAAGCTGCTGCTAGCGGAATTGGTAACCAGGTCTCCATGGAATTCAACCTGGCTTACCGCTGGCATTCTTGCATTGGTGCTGCTGATGAGGACTTCACCAACAACACTTATCAACAGATGTTCGGAAAGAGTGGTGAAGACCTCTCTATTCCAGAGCTTGTTGGAGGACTGGGTAAATGGCAGGCTAGCATTCCTGATGACCCAGCTGAGAGAACCTTTGCTGGGCTCAAACGAAAGACTGATGGCACTTTTGACGATGGTGAACTCATGAACATAATGACTGAAGCCATCGAAGAGGTTGCTGGTAAGTTATATTCTTGTCATACCAATATCATTGATGATTTTACTAACATGAGTCTCACATATAGGATCCTTCGGTCCCAAAAATGTTCCAAAGGCACTCCGTGGCGTTGAGATCCTCGGCATGCAAATGGCCCGTAAATGGGGTTGCGCCTCTCTCAATGAGTTCCGCAAATTTTTCGGATTAAAGGAGTATCAGACTTTCGAGGAGATCAACTCCGACCCAGAGATCTCTGGAGCTCTTCGCAATCTCTACGAGCATCCTGACCACGTTGAATTGTACCCCGGTATTGTTGCCGAGGAGCCAAAGATTCCTATGGTTCCTGGAGCTGGTATCTGTCCAACATACACTATTTCTCGTGCCATCTTGTCTGATGCTGTGGTGTTGGTCCGTGGAGATCGTTTCTACACTGTAAGACTTTTGGCACCTTGATTTCCCTATATATATTGGCACCGATTCACTAAATTCTATGCGACAGGTTGATTACCATGCGAAGAACTTGACCAACTGGGGTTACGCTGAGACTCACTATGACCTCAGTGTCAACCAGGGCTGCATGTTCTACAAGCTCATGCTCAGGGCATTCCCTAACCATGTCAAGAGCGATTCGATCTACGCTCATTTCCCAATGACTATCCCAAGCGAGATGAAGAAGGTCATGACTGATCTCGGTCGACATGACAACTTCTCCTGGGACCGGCCGGCCTTTATTCCTCCTCGTGTAAACATCACCTCTTACATGGGAGCAAAGACTATCTTGGAAAACTCCAAGGACTTCCGTGTCACCTGGGGAGAGGCTACTGGTTTCCTCTTCGGCAAGGGAGGACTGGACTTCATGCTTTCTGGAGACAGTACGTTCCATGGCCAGCAGCGCAAGACCATGGGCAAGGCGTTGTACCACAGCGAATGGAAGAAGCATATCAAGGAGTTTTACGAGGATATCACCATCAGGCTTCTCAGGGAGAAGACTTGCAAGATCGCAGGCATCAACCAGGTTGATATCACCAGAGAGTAAGATTAGCCATATATCTTTGACCCTCCCACTTGTCAAATCCGACCCAAAGCTAACATTGCGAAACAGCGTTGGAAATCTTGCACACGTACACTTCGCTTCTAGCATTTTCGGCTTGCCATTGAAGACTGCAGAGAACCCCAAGGGTATCTACACCGAACATGAAATGTTCATGATCATGTGTTTGATCTTTACCACTATATTCTTCGATCTGGACCCTGCCAAATCCTTCCCGCTCAGACAGGCCGCCAGAACTGTTGCTCAGCAACTTGGCCAGATTATGGAGGCCCGTGTCAAAGCCGTCAAGGGAGGTATTCTCTCCCTGTTCAGCCGTATGGGTGAGAACAAGAATGCCCTGTCCCAGTACGGTGTCCATATGATCCGCCGCCTCCTCGATTCAGGGCTCAGTGTTGAGCAAGTTACCTGGTCTCAGGTCATGCCAACTGCAGGAGCTATGATTCCAAACCAGGCTCAAGTGGCAAGTACAAGTCCATCTGATTAATTTTTGACTATCTTACAGTATATATCCCGCTAACATGAACCCAGTTTACTCAAATCATTGACTACTATCTCTCCGAGGAGGGCAAGGTTCACCTGCCAGATATCAAACGCTGGGCCAATGAGAAAACCGACGAGGCCGATGAGAAACTTCTCCACTACTGCATGGAAGGTATCCGCTTGAACGGTACCTTCGGATCCTACCGCGAGTCTACTGCAGCTCTTGACATCGATGATGATGGCCGCAATGTGTCCGTCAAGCCTGGTGACAAGGTCTTCGTCAGCTTCGTAAGTCTTCTAGTAAATACCTATAAACTAAACTACCTTTCAATGGAACTAACCATCATGTACGAAGGTTGGTGCTGCCCGTGATCCCAACATCTTCCCCTCGCCACATGAAGTCCGCCTTGACCGTCCCTTGGATTCATACATCCACTACGGTGAGGGCCCGCACGCCTGTCTAGGCAAGGATGCAAACATGATCGCACTTACGTCTATGCTGCGTGTTGTTGGTGGTCTAGACAACCTCCGCCGAGCTCCAGGGCCCCAGGGCGAGCTGAAGAAGATCCCGCGTCCAGGTGGCTTCTATATCTACATGCGCGAGGACCAGAGCGGCTACTTCGTCTTCCCAATGAGTAAGTTACCAATTGTCCAGGTTCTATGATTGTCTCGCACAGCTTACTGACACCTTTGCCATCTACAGCCTTCAAAGTCCACTATGATGGAGAATTGCCAGCTCAAAACGCCCACTAGATATGATCTATGACCGTCAGTTGCAAGTAGACTGATAATAAGTTCGGCAATTGAGATATATTGGCTTGTCCGTCTGTATATCTCTGTATATCCACACGCGTGTTTGGACGCCGACGACAGTTTCTTTTGTCTCCCCTGTATTTGATACCCGATGTATCGTTTCCATATGGTCTCGTAGTTAGTCCTAATTAGTTAATTAATCCATCGTCCTGTACGCATTTTACCTATACTCGCCTTCCTCCTCGTCATTTGATCTGGATTTCCCTTGCTGTTTGCCACGGAGCAGACGCTCTCGACGGAGACGAAGCCCAACAGGTTACCATGATCACCCCCGTACCCCGAGTCTGGCTGCTGTTTCATGACTAAAGCACGCTGCACTGCCAGTCTCGAGATTTGTCAAGACATCGAAGCCGGAGCTCCGGACCTCCAATCTAGAACCGGCCAGGGGTGAGCAGCGCATGAGCAAATTGCGATATTTTCGTACGGCCTGATCTCTCAATAAATGGCCTGACCACCCCCGCGTCCACCAGGGTAGGCGATGCACATAGTGGCCAAGACTATAGTATAGGTTGGTCAATAGTCAGGTAACTCGTCCAGGGGACCCTCGCATGGGACGATCACAAGCGACATCATAGTTTCGCCAAATCGTATGTAGCTATACATAAGATATTAATTGGCTGCAGAAATTGATATTTTACCTATCTTAGTCTTTGAGATTTCCTGGCCACAAGGGAATTGCACGCTGATGTACTCCGTAACTAACTACTCAAATCCTGGACTCCAGCCGCTGGATTAGTTTCTGTTGTCACAGATCAACCATTCAACTAGGTCCAGCAGTTAACTAGTTAACCAGTTATCCCGGAGTGTCTCTCTCCCGCCATTCACTTCAATCTGCTGCTTTATATTGACCTTTCCATGTGCAATCCGGTACATCACTGTTCTGCAGCCTGATACCAAGGTATTCACAGGTGTGTCGGCGAGATAGTTAATGACGACGTAGTTACATAAATGCTTTCAATCCGTTCCCAGATTGTAATAACTAGCTAGCCAGAAACCATATAGTCAAGGCAGAGGAGGTGAAAGCATCAAACACAGAAGGCCTATTGCAAACTTCTAGCCCACACGTAGATTGAGGCAATATCTAAGAGAGATAAAGACATCAATGTCCCCATAAAGCTGATTATTTTGGGCAGATAGTATGCCTAATACAGGGATGGCTCCCTTCTTGCGTGTGCACTCCATATTAACTTGTAGATTACGGAGTACTACTATTATAATTCTTGAGCGGCAATAGAATAACTAGTTAACCACTCACCCAAATCTTTACTAATGGGGCCACATATATTGCGTCCAAAGGCCACCTCCTATATCAGTACATTCGGTGGCACCCTGATTAACGGAGTACTCCGTACATATAACTAACTACTCATGCTTCAGGAACACCAGTCAAGATCTGCCGCAGTGGCAGCAAGCAATGCGCATGTTCAGCAACACTTGGCCATCACAAGCCGGCTGCACCAGGGATGTCACTGGCCAACCCGCTGCGTCGAAAAGTGACGAGTTGCTCGCTAGCTGCACGCGAGATGCAGTGTCCAGGATATCCCATTCCAGCCAGCTCCAGGGGCGGGCTGCTGAGGTAGTTATCCGCCAAGGGGGACCCCGGGGCGAGAGCTGACTCTGCAGCTTTCACGGGCGAGAGACAAACACCGCAGCGGCCTGAGCTCGCTCGCCTCTCGCCACGTCGTCTCACCCATCATCCCGTTTTCCATCCTCCTTGCTATTCTCCTTACTAGGTGTATTCTCCCCTTGCCGTTGCTCCGTCGTCCTTCGTTCGTTCGTCCTGCTGCGTCTCTTTTTTACTTCGTCCCGGAGCGTTATATTCACGTGATCATCTTAGTCAGCATCGGCTTTTGATGCCTTTTTGCACGTCGAGGAAGAAACAAAACAGCAAAAGACGAATAAACAGCGACAGGAAAGGCGGATGTCGATGATACGGATACGGAGCTGAAAGGGGGAACTGGCAGGCATCTGTTTACATCGAGGGAGTGAGTGAGTGTCGGAAAGGAATGCTGTAGAGGAAGCGAGTGGAAGGCAAGAGAGCAAACATGGCCCCCAAAGCCATCAAGGGCGAATATATCGAGACCGTGAGTTCTAGAAGCCTCCGCTTGTGAAGAAGAGTGCGGCGTTAAGATATGTCTGCAGGATACAGGGAACAAGGTGTCTCGTCGCAACCAGGTACACGGAACACAGCATATCATTCTAGGCGGCAAGACAGTCATCCAGGCAGACGTCTGTATCCGTGGTGACCTCTACCGCCAGCAGCCAGCAACACCAGCAGCAGCACCGTCAGGAGCGGCCGGGTCAAAATCTGCCGCCAACACGCCTTCGATCGCAGTAACGATCGGTCGATATACATATCTGTCTCGGTCATGCCTGCTGCGGCCTCCATCCCGACTCCACCGCGGTGTGCATTCATACTACCCGCTGAAGATGGGCGATCATGTCTTCGTTGGGGAGAACTCAATCGTCGAGGCGGCCACGGTAGGAAATCACGTCCACATTGGACGAGACGTGGTTGTAGGATCAATGGCTATCCTGAAGGACTATGTCGTTGTGCTAGACGGAGCGGTTGTCCCCGCAGGCATGGTCGTGCCCAGCTGGTCTGTCGTCGGCGGAGCTCCTGCAAGAGTTGTCGGCGAAGTTGGCGAGGGCTATGGTGTTGAAGGAGCGGAGGGCGGAATGGCCAGGGAGAGATATAGGCTGGTAGGGAGGTGATGGCCATATGTCACGACGGTGAACACCGATTGCAATCCCCCCACTGATAGATACTTGTGTTGTTCTATGTAGATACCCTTGAGCGTTCAATTCTTCACTATATCAAAATCCTTTCGGCTAACTGCCTTTTTTACTCCCAGAGCCAGTTAAGTGGGGATACAACCCCCGTCGCCCAGCGCACATCATCCAGGCCAGAATATGCATGGCTAAGACGTTGAGCCGGGGAATATACGGGCATTCCGCCGCGGCGCATTTCTCTCCGTAACTCGTGTTCAAAGAGGAGCGCATCTAGTTCTATTTCTCAAACAAATATTATTTGGTACTCAGAGGCTTACATTAGCGGAAGAGTCTAGCATCGTATATGTACATCGACAAGGCGCTAAATGGTGTAATTCGAACATGCATGACACGCGCTTGCGAGTAACGAGCCTGTGGCACCACACCATGCAGGCAGATCCGCTTGTCATATTAACCTCTCTGACCAGTCGAGCGGGTTGAAGCAAGTCCAAAATTCTAACTATTTTGTCAGCTTCTGTCCGAGGCAAGCAGGAAAAATTGAGCCGAGGTTGTTGACTTTGACTAAAGAAATTAATAAAACAACGGGATGGCACCATGATGACTACGAAAGAAAAGGCGTCTATCACGGAGTATTCATGTGGATAATACGACGTCAAAAGGGGCCTGAAGAGCTTGTCTTGTCTTGTCTCGCCTTGTCTTCTCCCTTTGGCCAGCCGCCGGAGATTCATCAGGACGGGTGGAGCTAGTGACGGCTATCCGGCAGGGGATAAAAAAAAATATCTGGCAATCGCTGCGATATTATTGTGATAACGATTCAGCGGTCATATCTTCTGCATAGCTGACTACGGTCGAAGATAGCGTGCAGTCAGTGGGCACAGTCCTCGACTACCCTGAGAAGTATCAACGGCCACCGAGTGCCTGCGGATGGGCATGCCTGGAGCTCCAGGACATCATAAGCTTACCCAGCTGGCTTCTCTGGGCAGGTCAGAGCCCCTTTCTCATCCATGCCCTGGGCTTTACGTAACTGCGACTCGCCCCACGGAGTAGATCAGTCCTGGCGTTTCTCATGTCATCTCTGGCCTGAATAGCCAAGCAAATGCCGGCAAGGACTGCGTCCTCTGGCCGGAGTAGAGATGTCTATTATTGACTGTTCTTCGCAGATACGAAAAATGCCTATCAGTCTGCAAGTTGCCTTTGATAACCTCATGTCTAGGGACGACCTGTCACAGCCAGATAGATAGACGAGATATCGACATGCTTAACGCCCTGATAAAGCATGACGAATATCAGACCCAACTTTTTTGATCTCGAGGCCAACCGTCTCCATGTGAAATCCAGCAACTTCATAGGCTCAAAGGCCGAGAAAGAAAACTTAGTGCTATTTTCTTTCCTTTTTTTTTTTCTTTTTTTCGCAGGCAAGAAATTTTCCAAGTGGATGCGACCCCCAGTAAGTTAAACCCATGCCAGGCCTGCGAAAAGAGAGATGATGAAAGCCAGCGGGAGATCCATGAATGCGGGCTCTTGTCGGATGATTATCCAGCGAAAGTTTTTCTTCTTTCTCCCTCGCTTTCGAGCCTTTGGAATAACTAACTAATGAAGTGGTTATTGGGCAAGGATTCCATATATTATTGGCTCACCACCGCTGACTCCATCCTGTAGATATATATCTTCCGGGCATATACATATATGTATATAAACCTCTCCAAGAAGCATCCAGAGCTGCCCCTGTCTGTCATGTGCTTTTCTCCTCTTTTGCTGTTAAACTCGCTTTCATCCCACCGCCGTCTATTTCTATATCTTGGTCTAGAGGTTGTATAACGCTTCACTACTGCGGTACATGCGACTCATAACCGGCGGGCGCAGAGTCTGTCATTATCCCGATACTTCGCTGCGCTGTAGAGCCCTCCACCATCTTCCATTCGACAGTGACTATCATGGCGCCCAGTTTCTTTAGCGGGCCAGGTAGTTCCAGCCATGCGAAATACTTCGATATCAGGTATGTGAAATTCCGTATACATCTAACCTTCCTTTCCCTCCGAGCAACGGCTAATCAATACCCAGACTGGACGAGCCGTATATCGTATTTCGGGGCAATGAGGAAGAGTCTGCCAGCGCTCATCTCAAAGGCACTCTAGTCCTTTGCCTCTCAGAACCATTGACTATCAAACATCTCAGGCTGCACTTGACAGGCATGTCAAGGATAAGGTACGTTTATATACCCCTTTACACACCGTTCTCTGCTTGTGATACTATCTAATGCGCTATTGCAGCTGGCCGTTCCTCATTGGCGCCGTTCCTGGTACAAAGAAGCACGGCAAGGAACGAACATTTTTCGAGAAGACATGGAAATTTATAGACGCCGGCAAGGGGAAAACGGAGATTATGCCTGCAGACAACTACGAGTTTCCCTTCGACATTGTCCTGCCAGGCTCACTACCAGAGAGCATCGAAGGCCTACCAGACACATGGATAATCTATCGTTTCAAGGCTGAGATCGGACGCAAGTACGCCAAAGATATTCAGGTCAGAAAGCCTTTACGGATTATACGGACACTAGCTCCCAGTGCTCTGGAACTATCCCATGTCATGGTATGTCATATCAAGATATAACTTTATGAATACTAGATCTAAGTGGATAAATAGTCTGTTGAAAACATCTGGCCAAACAAGCTGGAATATTCCATTTCCACACCCAGCAAGGCAGTCGTCTTCGGGACGTCGGTCCGCATCGATTTTCGCCTCGTTCCACTGCTAAAGGGCCTCAAGATCGGCTTGATTACCACCCAGTTCATCGAGAGCTATGATGTGATGAGCTGTCGTGACGACTCACAACTGCAACCGACCTCACACAAGTCCATTAGAGTAGTGGTAGCAGACCACTTTCGTCTTGGGCCTGAAGAAGAGCGCAGATTTGTCGAGGAGGAAGAAGAGGGCTACCAGTTTTCGCGGGTTCTTGATCTGCCCAAGAAGCTCAGCAAATGTATCCAGGATACGGATACTAAGGGCATCAAGATACGACACAAACTGAAATTTAAGATCCAACTACACAACCCCGACGGACATACATCAGAGGTATGCTTTTATTACGAATCTCACAGCGCTTGACCGCCTCTTGCTATAATTTTGGTTACTAATATAAGACTTACAGTTACGGGCTACGCTACCAGCGTTCATCTTCCTATCACCCAACCTACCTTTAGATGATAACAATAATCTCGTTAATCAATCGCCGACGTCACCGCAGGTAGCTGAATTTTGCATGGCCCAACAGGCACCACCGTTATATGGAGAGCACCAGTTCGATATGCTATACAGTGAACTCGACCCTCACGGCTACCGAACCCCGGGAATATACAGCGGAGTCGCAACCCCGCTATACGGATCGATCAGCCGAAACTTATCAGCCGAGAATCTGTCTGCTCTGGCAACCCTGGGCACAGGGGGGGATGTCGCAGCCAGTATACTACACAATCGTCTGGTCAATCTACACATTGACAGCTCCTCCCTGCGCTCGCCGGGAACACCACCACCTGAGCTCCTATCACCAGACGCTCATGATAACCGCCGCTCAATGACATTCCCGGTAACAACTTTTACAGCGGCCACAACACCGGATATGTCTCGACGCACTTCCGAGGATGAGCATCCCCCATCTGGCCTCGTATCACCACATTTCCTTCGAGCCAACGATGTCGAAGATCTCTCCCGTGTACCTAGCTATTCAACCGCTGTACGGTCTTGTGCCATGTCCGCCAACAACAACGGCCTTCCAAACTACGAAACGGCCACGGCAGGAGACGTTTCGCCGGTTAGTGAGCGGCCACCTTCACCTCCAAGACACACAGCCCGTGCACTTAACCGGCTGTCCTCCACCTTTGTTGATGCTCTCCCCCAGTTTTCAATTCACCGACACAGTACCGGCCACGATCACGACTCCGAGCGACGAGTGCGCATTCTTCAGGCTAGATCAACATAGCCCTTCGGTCAATATCTTTTTCTTGCTCCATTTTATAATTTTCCTTCTTATATTCCTTTCATGTTTATATTTCTAATTCACGACTTGGATGACCGTTTCTGGGATGCATAATCGGGTGTTTTTATTTGGTTTTCTTTTCTTCTTTTCTTTTCCTTTTTTTTTTTTTTCGCAGGTTCATTTCATCCAGTATTGGGAAGTCCAATGCGTTAGGGGTATGCTGACCATTGTATTCCCCTTCTCCTCTCGTCTCTTTCTCATCTGATGTTTATATACCATCTTGCCCCTGGATATTGCAAGTTATGTACATACGTCTATACTCTGCCCTCTAATACGTGAATGCACATGCTTAGTCATCGTGACGTCACATTAAGGTCAATGCACGAGCCATTCTTTATTTCAGTTCTTTCCCCCTTTTGGACATCGTCAACTCCAATTGCATCGTCTTGATAGATCAGCTTAATAGGGGTGGGATAGATAAGTTCGTCGGCGCAAGATGCTGTGGGTGGCATGTTTTGGCGCCCCGTCAGATCTCCGGGTTACAGGCTGGCTTTGCATCTTCCCAGATCTTGGTTTTGGAACTTTCTTTTTTCACGGCCGAAAGTGGGGAGGGGAAAGGAGTTGTTGCATCGCTCATCTTCCTGGATAAAAGCTGCGCCTCTCTCTCCTTTCCCTCTGCTTCTTTTCTCATTCTCTGAAGTGGTCTTATATCTTTCAAGCCAACTGAGAATCAGCGTTACAATATCTCACTCTGATCATCCTCTTCCGTGGCAGAGCCTTTCTCAGGGGTAACTTGCTAGCACCCAATTGAGTGCAGTCGTCTCCCCTACGACCCTTGTATACCGGTAGTCTAACGGTGTGAGCTTTATAATCGCTATAGGACCAGTCAATTGATAGAGGTAACATGGCTTTCAAGTCTGTTTTGCCACGTCGGTCCAATACCGTTACTACTAATACAACCACGGCTACGAGGACCTCGACCACGACTTCGACAGGCGAAGAAGATGCCATCCCCGACTCCGACTACAAGGATGTAAGTAGTGGTCCTGCGGATGAGGTCTTGACTTGTTATGCATAAAGAATAGCCATACTGATTGTGCATAGACTACGAATTTGCTGGTCGAGCGACTCCAGGCATGGAAACATGTCTGCGGAAACCTGGAGGATTATGTGGCCACGACGATGAAAGTCCAAAAGACTCATGCAAAGGAGCTTGAGAAGGTTTTCAAGGTATGTCATAGCATTATATCAGATGGTTGCAAGTGGTTATCTAACAGTATGAGTAGACAGTGTCTGATCCTATCAAGGAAGAACACCATTTCGATCAAGGTGCCACCGGTGTAGCTGGTCTGTTCGAATCTCTACGTCGAAACACACAGGTATGTTATACAGCATGATTAGATCAAACAGCCGAGAAGGTACTGACAATAAGTTTAGGGACTCGCAGAGGCCCACGCAGATGCAGAGAATCGCATGAAGACGTCCGTGGTTCCGATTCTTGAGAATCTACACGCCGAAATCAAAACGAAGGCGAAGGAACTAGGCGGGGGAGCTATCAAACACGGAAAGGAGGTCACTAAGTCTCGTGCAGTTACCCAAAAACATATTGAACTCCTGGGCCAGTACGCTGCAACTTTTGAAACATCCAAATCGCGACTGGATGCTGCCCATGATCCATATATTCTCTCTCGTGGCGTCACTTACCGCCTCGGACGACAGGTTGCAGATGAGAACCTACATTTCCAAGAGATCTTGACGATTCAGAACTCCTTCCCTGCCTTTGAGAAACATATTGTTGAAACGATCCAACGGGCGATGAACGAGTTCTTCCAGTGCATGACGGCTCAAACGGACCATCACCGAAACATGTACTCGAACATTGTGAACAAAGCACAGGAGATCGGCGTAGATTTTGAATGGAACAACTTTTTCAAGCGCAATGACGCTACACTGCTCGATCCCAACGCGCCACCACGAGACCTGGCAACGATCAAATACGCTAACCAAGACCACCACGCCACCAAGCCCTTGGTGGAGGGAATCTTGGACCGCAAGTCTCGTGCGATGCTTAAGGGGTACACGGGAGGTTACTTTGCTGTGACCCCCGCGGGTTACTTGCATGGGTTTAAAGAGAACGATGATACACGTCACGAGCCTGTGCCGGAGATCTCTCTCTATCTCCCCGAATGCACCATCGGCGGGTTCAACGATCTCAAATTTAGCGTCAAGGGCAAAGACTTGTCCGGCGGCAAGGTTGGAAACGCATTTCACATGACCAGCGAGTACAACTTCAAGGCTCGAACCAAGAACGACCTGGAGCAGTGGCAGGCTGTCCTCACCAATTCTGCCTCGTGGAGTGGATCAGGGTCCGCCATAGCTTCTCCCGGCGGCTCCCAGGTCACCTCTCCTGTGTCTCCGATCTCTCCCGCAGCGACCATGCCAAACGCAGGAGAGTCTAGCACTGCAGGTGCTGCTGCTGTCGACACAACGGAGAAAGCTGCAACAACGGAGACACCGGCAGTGAGTGAGAAGCCAGCGACTGAGACTGCCCCAGCTCCTGCTCCTGCTCCGGCTGGAGAGACTGCCCCAGCTACTGAGCCACTGCCAACGGCAGCCACAACAACTGGCACTGAGGGCACCACGATGAAGCCAACCGGACAGGAAGAAGGGGTTGTTTCCGTCCCCACGGCGGAGAAAAAATAGGCAAAAATCTTACAGTCATGCAGTCAGTCTTGACTTGTTGTCTGTGATCCAACCTATCGGATTTTTTCCCCTCGATCTTTCTTTGCTTTTTGCTTGTTCTTTTTTGCTTTATATTTGGTGTGCTGTTTTGGCCTAGCATGTTGAAGTCACCCGTTAGCCTCATGACCTGAGTCATCTAATGCATTATTTATTAATATATCGAAAGCTGACAGCCCAAGCTGGAAATGGGATATGTATATGTACACCCACGAGAAAGAAGGGATAGTGGGGGAGGTTAGTATTAATTTTCCATAGAGCCCTAGGGATAAGGTAGAATACAGGGATGGTTGATGGTAGGTGTGCACACATACAATAAACAGGCAGGAAAAAGAACATAAAGAGCAACCGCTGTGAGAATGCCATGTATGATAAAAGGGGATAAAGAAAAATAGTGATAGATCAGAAGTCTTCAGGACTCTCTAGGTCCGCTAGTTTGTTGCCCAAAAATTTGCCCAGCGCGGCTGACTTTGATTCGAGGGCGAGTAGGATATGCGGACTGGAAGCCAGATTGAGCCCCGCCAGCCGATCGAGGTCGTGGCTTCGATCGATGGCCCACTGGGCCCGCAGCGCCTGGTGAATGATGTCTTCATCCTGCCTTATCTCAGCCTGTTCGATCTGCTCGTCGGAGGGAGGTGTGGGTGAGGTTAGGCTGGAGAGAGATGAGGCGGGATTTGGGGCCGAAGAGGCGAGTTTCGAAGATACGTGTTCGGCTTTGGGGTTCTCGAGAGCGGTAAGTGTGGAGAAGGATGAGTCTCCTGCGGCCTTGACAGTTCGTTCCGAGTCGCTGGCTGCTGAGCCTGCAATCATTCTCGCTCTGCCAGCAAGGTCTCCTCCTTGCTGTGTCGTCCGAGGAGCAGGCTGCTCTTCAACGATGCGGGTAGGCCCAGCGACGGCAAGAAGGACCTTGTCTGCTATCTTGGTGACCACGGCCACCATATCTTGCATCTCGAACATGATGGAGCCCACGTTTCCCAGTGGGATGGATGGAGTGCTGGAAAAGGCGGAGGGGTGAATGGAGGCGCTGACACCAGTGAGGTTGCCATTGGGAGCCTTAACAGCGTACGACTTGTACGCAGCTCCGTACGTAGCGCACAGGTTCCGTATTCTGCGCTGGGGGAGGGGAGAAGCATGCGCAAAGACTGCACCATTCGAAGCAAAGATACTAGGTGTGATATTAGCGAGCTGAAAATGGACTATCATCAAAGAAAACAAAGCTGGATCAAACGCAAAAACGACGCACAATATAGATGTTATCTCTGGCGGCGAGAGATTGTCGGAAAGTAGGTCGTTGAGGGCCGTTGTGTCGAGCATCTTGATCTCCGGCAGTGCGGGAGCCATGGCGCCGTCTGTGTCGTCGTCGCCGTCAAGGTCGTCTTGGAGGAGTAGGCTGTCCGAGTCCGAGTCTGTCTCGTCGGCCGCAGAGGCATCCGGGTTGCTGGCCAGGTCCGGGGGCGGATTGTAGACGCAGTCCTCGGGGAAGAAGAAGCAGTTGTCGTTGTAGTCCTCGTCGTCGTCGTACTCGATCGGTTCGTCGCTCAGCTCGAGCAGGTTCTGGGCGTACTTCACGTGACTTCTGGCCCAGACGGGGACGAAGTCTGCGGGCGTGCAGAGAATCGGCGACGAGGGAGGGCCGGCGGGCTTCTGGCGGGCGGTTTCAGCCATGGATCAGGGAGATAGCAGCAGGAGCAGCACGAGAAACAACTACAGCAGCGAGCTGGACAGTTGTATAAGGGGGAGCGCGCTGTCGAACGCCCCATCAGGAGTAAAAAAAAGCAGAGGACGTGGAAGGGCAGCACCAGCAGGCAGCAGAGACAGAGACGCAGGCAGAGACGGTGACTTGGGACAGCTAGCGAGAGCCATCTCGTGTCAGCTCGAGACGGACGAGGCGCTATATAAGCATCTCTGCGTTCCCCGGCCTGGCTGCTGTGTCCGCGATCATAGATCCTCCATCCGCCATCCATGTGCCTTGTCTCCCTCGCTCGCTGCGCTAACCAGCCTGCAGCGAACTTCGCGCCAGCGGCGGCCCATCGAGAAAAGGGAAGGCAGACACGTGTAGGGCAGACAGCGTCTCGTGTGGCGGCAAAACGCATCGATACATCGGAGGTACGTACAGGACCTGATACATCCTATGGAGCAAGTTGATAATTATGGGGTACGGAGCAGTCAGGCAACTCTCTGTACGGTCACCAGAGCCGGACAAAAAGAGACCTACCACAAATCAACTAGCCGGAGATCTCGTTCTTCGTCTTACTTGACTGCGTTCGTCTCTGCTCTTCGTCTCCGGTTTTGTTTTTTCTTTTGCGGCTGCTTCGTTTCTTTTTTATTGTTTTTGTCGCCAAAAGCGCGCGAAAAATAAAATCAAATAAAATAAGCAAAAAAAGCATAAAAAAAGAAGGTTGATCACGTGATATTAGTCATACGGAGCGGATCGGGCCGACACGGGAAGGGAAACAGTGCACGTGATGTATATAAATAGACGCAGATGGATAAGATAAGATGAAGACAAGCACCGGAAACAATAACACAAAAAGTTATAGATAGAGGTATATATAGATATCGGATATAGGCAGAGACATAGGGGACAGGGGACGACAGAGCTAGGCATGGTACTTTGATAGGCGAGAGGATAGTTTAGACAAGATGGGTGGGCATCTCATATTGACAAGGCTTCGAGCGGAAGGCTGACTGTTTCGACGTAGGCTTGGCTTATGCCTTACGACCTAACTAACCATGCAACCTCTACACACTTACACACATACTTAGCACGGAGCTTACTACAGGGGGGTAAAAAGATAAGCTTACAAATGTTAGGCGTTAACATGGTACCGCCGTTCCTGAGATATGATATTATTTGCTCCTCCGCGTTTTGCGCTGGACTTTTTCAAAGGAAGGACAGAACACCGAGACCTATATTGGTTACTTATGCTGTACTACTTCTCCGCACACTAGTGAGCAATGCATGTTCCATAGCGTGCAGTGCTGGTATAGATCTGGCGACCAGGCTGCTGGTACCAGACGGCCACTCATCGTCTCCTTTTCTCCGCGGGGTACATACTACATACAAAGAAGTACCACATACCAACCACGTACCACAACCCCACATATTACAGAGCAAGTACACAGTTACAAGAATATGCAGATAATGTGGATGCGTGAAGAAGCACGACAGGTTTACTGTCCCTTCAATGCCTCATTTTGGACAATTTCAACCCAGTAGCCATCCGGGTCTAGCAGAAAGGCGATATTGTGCATCCTCCCATCTGTGAGACGCTTCTTCCACGTCACCCCCAGCTCTTCGAACCGGGCACACGCGGCATCTAGGTTGTCCATCACCATACCTGATCATGTTAGACTCCACAAAACCATAGTCAGTCAGCGTGTGGGGACCAAAAAGGGGGACGTACAGATGTGGCCGAATCCTTGAGGCTCGCTATTACCGTCGTGGTACACCTTGCCCTCCTGTTTCTCCGTGCCATAGTTCCACGTCAACTCAAGTAGTCCCTCCCAGTTGGCAATTGGGTTACGAGCCTCTTTCTCCATCGGCGGGTTCGAAGCGGGATACCCCAAGAAATACAGATTAAACCCCGCCTCAGGAGCCTCAGATGTCCTCAGCAGCGTCATACCCATGACCTCCTGATAGAACTTGAGGGATGCGTCCTTATCCTTGACCCGCAGCATGGTATGGTTTAGACGGTACGACTGGGGGTCCGACTCGGTCACGGCTTCATCTACATCCCCGCGGCGGATGAGTTCAACCCAGTACCCATCTGGGTCTTTGACAAACGCGATATGCTTCATCCGGCCGTCGGTTAGTTTCTTTTGGAACGGATACCCGGCGTCCTCAAGTCTCTTGCATGCTAGCTCGATATTCTCCACCGAGACAGCAATGTGGCCGAACCCGCGATATGGTTCCGTGTTGCCGTTCACAACAGAGAAGTTATCATCATTTTCTGTGCCGTAGTTGTGAGTCAGTTCGAGGACTCCGTTCCTATCGGTCCAGTGCTTGCCGGTGTTCAGCGCCTTGGGGCTATCGTATGCGAGGAAATAGAGCGAGAATTTGGCGTCTTCAAAGTCGAGTCGGTTGATTTGGGTGAGACCAAGGAAACTGTAGAATTCGACTAGTTATTCTCGTTAATTATTGTCACTGGTTTCTTGTAAACAATTAGTGGACTTACGAGATCTCTTCGGGTCTTTCACCCGAAGCATCGTATCTGCAGACAGTAAGCAGCTTTTCAGCACCGGCCAAAGATGTCGTTCACCTACGATGAAACTTATACTTCGATGGGTCTGTCATCTTGACTTGCTTCTACCTGGTGGTGCTAGAGTGATCCTGTCGGTCATCATTAGTATTAGCTGGCCAAGGGCAGAGGGAGATAGCAAGCAGTTAGCCAACCTTCAAGATCGAGCTGCCTTAAAGTCTTCGTCAATGGCGCTAGAGGCGAAGCTGCAGAAAGCAAAGAGGTAATTAACTATCAGTGATAGAATAGTTATACTCGGCGAGTGGAGTTCAACCTGAAGCGAGAAAGAAAGTGATTATAAATCTATGATGCAACATTGGTGAGGGGCTTCGCTTTTTCGTCCGAAGTTTGGCCCAGACAGGCTCGAAGATCTAGATCAAGGGTGTAGATATCAGATACAGATATAGATGCGGTTGAAGATGATGATTGAGAGCAAGACAGAAGAGATAGCTTGTTGTTTGCGTAAGTGTAATAGTCATTTAGGTCTAATAGCGGTTCTTTAATACACGCCGTGCCATATTTACTCGTACAAGTCAACGTACACAGCCAGCATAGAGCTAGCCAAAGACAACCTGACGGACATGTCATTAAACAGGCGGTATGCTATTCTCATGATCGTTCCTTGGGTTTCAAGGACCATGAATATGCTCAGAGTTTAAGTCGGTTCAATCGTTACCAGTTGCTCCCGAGAATTGATATATCGGCATAGGCCAGAGGGAGTTAAAAGGAACAGAGAGAGAATATGAATGAGCTAACCATGAGCATTGTAAAATGTATGGTGCTACTATTGCGTCTTCTGACCTCCGTGGAAGATCTGGCCTCCTTGAGTTCACCAACCGGGGTACCAAATTGATAGTCTCGAGAGGTGATAACTATCAGAATTGGTACTGGTATATCAACTGGTAGTTGGTGGTGAAAGGCCCATTTGGGTGTAAACCGATTTGAGGGCCAGTGATGCTGCGAAAAGGCAGCCTGTAATGTTGTCAATAGTTTCGGCCTCGGTATTGACGGCTTAGGATGAAGGAATATGGACGTTTTTCATTGTCCAGAGTTCACTTAACGAGTCGTCGTTTTTTCCGTTCCATGTCTTCCTTCATGATCCTTTCTATCTCGGTCATTTTCTTAGGTGGTTCCGGGACTGCTTTAATTCCGGATGGTTGTTTTCGCTTCATACCAAAGACGTTGGGCTTCTTGACAGGCTTATCAACAGACTTTGAAGGATCCTGCTGTTCGTTATTCTTCCCTTGGCTTGCTGATATTGTTGGCTTGGGCGAGTTGCTGGACGATTTCAAGTTAAGGCTAAAGTCCGTCCACTTCTCCTTGGCGAGTTCTGCGGGTTTCTCGGGCTCAGGGGAAAGGGCCTTGTTCTGCCGGGCTCTTTCGACCTGCTGTAGTATTTCCTTCTCCTCTGATGCCTGCTGCTCCTCTAGACGGTTTGCTCGCTGCACTAGGTCTCGTCGACGAATAGCTTCGGGGCTGTTGTCAATCCACTGCACGAATATCCCGTCTTCCTTCTCTTCCACTCGACATATTCCTTCCCTCGCAAGGTATTTGGAAAATTCCGTCAGGCTCGACCATTTAGTGCTGTTAAGATGCACATGCGTCTTGTCCGAAATGTACTCCTGGTAGAAACGGTTCAGGTGGATCGGCTTTTCGCCATGTGACGTTCGAAGTAACTGTAGGAAGTCATGCTGAAACTCCTTGCTGTATCCTTCGATGAACTTTTTTGGATTCTCCGCGACTATCTGCATCGCCCGGACGTGACTCTCACTCAGCGTATGTTGTTTGAAGCCGTTCTCATCGCGTGTCTGTTTCTGGCACACCTCACACCACCACCGCAGCCGCTGGAGTCCTTTCTATATTACATCAGTTAGTTATAAGCTAGCAGAAACAGCATGTATCAAGGGAGATGTCATCTTACTAGCTTCTTCTGCGGCCGCCCACCATGCTTGCCTCCTTCTGGTGCCATTTCAGCCTTCTATCCCAAGCGTCGACTGTACCGTTCTGGGGCTGCAATTCTATCCGAAATTACCTGCCACTGATGAACAATCTGTGTTGCTATTTGCATATACTCTCACACTGAGGGCTGTGGTAAGAATACCATGTCATCGCCCTCCTATTTAAAATGAGTTGTATTTTTAATATAGGGCATTTTTTTTTTTTTTTTACCAAAAGGTTGCCTCCAGCTCTGAGATTCTAGCTCGAGAGCGAATTCACGTGACTGCATCTTCGGAACTCGGTATAAGGTTAATCCGTTATATCACGTGATGCTATTTTATCCATTCGGGCACACGAGAAGAAGATGAGGATATCCAGGACAGAAGGGACAGAAAACACGGAAGAGAAGATAAAGAAGAAAAGAAGCGAATTGAAGACAGAGGATGCAATGACTTGCCCTGAACTCACCTGGCTACCTGCGTGTTTGGTCTTTTCTACTCGTATAATGCAGCGCAATGCCTGAATTTTGAGTCCAACTTAACTAATAGAAAGAGCTGCTAACATCCCAGTTCCTCGACTTTGAGTCGGCATGCCAACCAAAAAAATCTAGAGCGACAATATTAAACTTGACTAACAAGTCATTCTAGGAGATAGACCTGGTGGCTGACACCCTCATATCCTGCTGACAAGCTGTCGTGGAAGACCCTACAACAGGAGACGTTGCGCTAGAGGGTGGTATCTCCTGGTATCCGGCAGAGTTGACAAGCATATTACCCTGCCCATGTTCATGTTACTCTGCTTACAGCCAACAGACCAAAGTGACATTCTGAAGTACCAAAGGTCTGCATGATATGTTTGTTGTAGTAGTCGAAGATTTGTGTGACCTGACCTGGCTACCAAGAAATATCCGGGTTGACCGCCAGTCGAACAGGCACCTTCGAATCTCTCTTCTGTTACTATTCTACTGTATGGGATCATTGTGATCAGAGATGTGGTTTGTATTCCGGCCTGCTGCCATTCCAGCGCTTTTGCTGACTCTAGGGGTCTCTGCTCTTTCACCTTTACGTCCTCTCGTCTCTACCGCTGGCCAGCATGAAGTTATCCCGGGGTGGTATCTACAGTCTGAACGTCATGTTTCAAGCAGCATCTTCAGTCTCTCATTTCCCGGCGCTGACGTCTCTTCGTGGTACCGAATGGGCCCGCGGGGTACTGTGATGGCCGGTCTACTTGAAAACGGCGTTTACAACGAGACGCACCTCTTTTTTTCAGACAACTTCAAGTCTCTCCCTGACGCCGACTTTCGTGATGTTTCCTGGCTGTATAGGGAAGAGTTCACGTTACAGCCTGGAAGTGGGCAACATTTCACCTTACACACTCATGGTATATCTTCCAGGGGTGATATATACCTTAACGGCCACCGAGTTGCCTCGAAGGATGTCCAGGCTGGCTCTTATGCTGGTTATCAGTACGATGTCACCAAACATGTCCTCAAGGGTGGGAACTGTCTATTGATCAAAGCCTATCCAACCAACTATCTCCGTGACTTGGCTTTGGGCTTCGTTGACTGGAATCCATATCCACCAGACAACGGCACCGGCATCTGGCGTCATGTCGAACTCTCCCAAAGTGGCCCTATCCGACTGTCTAGTCCACGCGTGACCACTGATTTTGTTCCTGGAGTTAGAGTAAATGACACAAATCTGACAGTCAAAACTGATGTCCACAACATTGGCCAAGAAACCATTAGAGGGAGCATCAAGGGTTTCATTGAGGGAGCTCAAAATCAGAGACAACCGATCTCCGCTCCGTTTACCCTCAAGCCGGGCGAGCAGCAAACCATAGAAATGAATACCACCATTCAGAACCCTAGTGTATGGTGGCCCGCTTCGTGGGGCGATCAACCTCTATACACTGCCAGGATATCCGCCTTCGTCGGCAAAATAAAGTCCGATGGGCCAAAGAGACGCAAATTCGGCATCAGGCATATTGAGTCTAGAGTCAACGACCAAGACACTGTAGAATTCAAAGTCAATGGCAAGCCTTTTTTTGTCATGGGTGCAGGATATTCGTCTGATATCTTTTTACGATTCACCGTTGAAAGGATCACAACCATATTCCAATACGTCCTTGACATGGGTATGAACACCGTTCGCCTTGAAGGCAAACAAGAGCATCCTGAACTTTACGATATCGCTGACAAAATGGGGATCATGATCATAAGCGGCTGGGAATGCTGCGACCACTGGGAGGGGTGGAAATACAACACGGAAGGATTTGGCCAACCTTGGACAGATGTGGATTACCCAATTGCCAATTCCAGCATGTTACATGAGGCCAGGATGATGCAAACCCATCCTAGCATACTTGCATTCCTAATTGGATCTGATTATTGGCCAAATGATCAGGCCACCAATATATATGTTGACGCCCTCAGGCGTATGGACTGGAATGCTGCAATAATCTCTTCAGCGGCAAAGCGAGGTTTTCCCAAGCTTCTTGGGCCTTCTGGTATGAAGATGGATGGTCCATATGACTGGGTACCACCGTCATATTGGTTTGGTGATAGACTCGGTGCTGCTGGGGCTGGTGGGTTTGGTTCTGAACTTGGGTCTGGTGTAGGTACCCCCGAGATTCGGAGCTTGAAAAAGTTCTTGTCCGAGGAAGACATGAAAGATCTATGGACCAAACCAAATAAGGTTCTCTATCATATGTCTGCTGGTGTGTCTCAGTTCCGTGATCGCTCAATATACAACAAGGCGCTTTACGCTCGATACGGCAAGCCAAATAGCTTGGATGATTATTCCTTGAAAGCTCAGCTAATGGACTATGAGGCAACTCGTAGTGAGTACGAGGCGTACGCCGCATATAAAAGTCATAGCAACCCCACGACTGGCTTGTAAGTATAACCACCTCTTTTGACCTATAAAATGGCAGTCTGCTGATATACGGTAGAATATACTGGATGTTGAACCCAGCTTGGCCAAATCTACACTGGGCCCTGTTCGACTACTACCTGAAACCTATGGCTAGCTACTTTGGAACCAAAACTGGCGCACGCATTGAACATGCCATATATGACTACAGGGAGCAGGCTGTCTATCTGATTAATCATTCTAATTCCCGGAGCGGTGCCCGCAGTGTTACAGTGGATCTAATTAATATCGACGGTAAGTCCTTGAGCCACAGCACAATGAAGGCAGATACTACACCACTCATGTCTCAGAAACTTTCCAAAGTTTCTGGCTTAGACAAGAACAGGGACGTTTCTTTCCTCCGCCTGATTCTGAAAGACGACGCGGGAAAAGTTCTGAGCCGAAACGTGTACTGGCTTCCTCAGAGGGAAGACGTGCTTGACTGGGGCAATTCTACCTGGTACCATACTCCAGTTACTGAGTATGCTGACCTAACGCCACTGAGCAAGCTACGCAAGGCAGATGTCCGGGTGGACATCAACATCCAGGGTCGAACAAAAACTAGAGTCTCCCTGCAGAATAAATCCAATCACCCGGCTTTCTTCATACGACTGAATCTTCTGGACAAGGCGAGTGGTGACGAGGTTACGCCTGTGTTTTGGGAAGACAACTATGTGACTCTATGGCCTCACGAGAGGATAGAGTTGGGCGTTACCTACCCGCAAACACACAGGGTTGAGCTTGAAGTGTCTGGGTATAATGTGGAGAAGAAGATGGTCTAGCCTGGACTTGTATCCAGGTGTACACGTATATATATTATTGCTATCCTACCGCTAACCAAATCCATAATGTATCAAAGCCTGCTGTACGTTCATAAATCATATAATTTCTTCCAACCCTCCGCACTCTTCGGAGTGATTGTATAAAACCGCCGACATGTAAAAGCAAATGAACATAAAAATTACTTCTTCTGCACTCTCTTCCGGGCCTGGAGTATCATCTCAACCACCTTTTCGTGGCCATTTTCGGCGGCGAGCTGCAGGGGGGACGAACTGACTCCGCCGGGCTTGAACTCGGCATGGGGATCCGCACCGCTCTCCAGTAGGAGACTGACAATAGTCTCTGCGCCGTTTCTGGCAGCCAAATGCAATGGCATCCAGCCATCCTTGTCTGCCGCACAGACATCTATATCCAAGCCGACTAGCATCCTTGCTATCTCCTCGTGCTGGTGAAGCGCAGCCATATGCAAAGCCGTCCGGTTCTGGATCGAAACAACATTTGGATTTGCTCCACGCCCGATCAGGAACTTGACAATACCAACATGGCCCCATCTAGCGGCCAGCAAAAAGGGTGTCCAGCCGCTTGAGTTCATTATCTCGATATTGGCTTTCCCCTTTTCGACGAGCAGCCGGGCAGTGGACTCCTTGTCGTGATACGCAGTCAGGGCGAGGGGAGTCCAGTCATCGTCTGCTTTGGCATTGACGTCTGCGCCGCTCTCGATGAGAAGCAGGGCTATCTCATCATGCCCTTCCCCTGCGGCGGCGTGCAGAGCCGTGTATCCAGACTCGCTTCTTGCATGGATCGGGGTACCAGAGTTGATTAGAAACCGAGCAATCTCGAGATTATTGTACTTTGCCGCAATATGCAGCGCAGTCCGCTTATCGTAGATGACCGATTTGACGCTGAGAGGCTTCTTGGTGGAAAGTACAAAGCGAAGCACAGGGAAATGGTTCCGTCTGGCCGCGACGTGCAGTGCATTCCAGCCCCCGTTATTGACGGCGTGAGCGTCCGCGCCCCAGTTCAGATAGAACTTCATCAGCTCGAGATGACCGCTCCAAGCGGCCAGGAGGTAGGGGGACCAGGGGACCGTCTTGGGGTCTGACGGGTTGATTTCAGCGCCG